CGGAGGGCCCAATATTATGTGATAAGAGATGAAGTATTGTTCCGCATAGGTTCCGATGACTTGCTCATGAAATGTTTGGGCAAAAAGGAACAACTCGTAGCAATGACTGAGGTCCACGAAGGGATATGCGGTGCCCATCAAGCTGGCATCAAGATGAGATGGCTTTTAAGGAGGCACGGTTATTATTGGCCGACCATCCTCAAAGATTGCATTGACTATGCTAAGGGTTGCAAAGATTGTCAAAAGCATGGGCCAATCCAACATGTCCCGGCCGGACCAATGAATCCAATTGTCAGGGCGTGGCCTTTCAAAGGTTGGGCAATGGACGTAATTGGCCAAATCCACCCAAAGTCGACCAAGGGCCATAAGTACATATTGGTGGCCACTGATTTCTTCACAAAGTGGGTGGAAGCCGTTCCACTCAAGCAGGTCACCCAGGTCGAGGTGATAGAATTTATTGAGAAGAATATCATCCACCGATTTGGCTTGCCCGAGTCCATCATGACCGACCGAGGAACGGCTTTCATGGGCGTGGCTGTTCAAGCGGCCGCAAAGAATTGGGGAATTAGGATGGTCCAATCCACAACATATAATCCCCAATCAAATGGCCAAGCGGAAGCTAGCAATAAGGTGATAAAAGGGATTTTGGAAAAAATGATAGACAATAATCCCAAGGAATGGCATTCTCTTCTCTCCAATTCTCTATGGGCATATAGAACTTCAAAAAGGTCTGCCACACAAACGACGCCATTCGCCCTCACCTACGGCCATGATGCCGTCCTACCACTCGAGATTTCGGTCAAGTCTCTAAGGGTAGTTCGTCACGCCGAATGGAGTAAGGACGAATATGAGCAAGCCATGGCGCAAGAGTTAGATGACCTCGATGAAGTTAGGTTGGGCGCTTTAGAAAAATTGAGGGCCCAAAAAGAGGCGGTGGCTCGAGCATACGACAAGAGAACCAAGGCCAAGAGTTTTGGAGTTGGAGATCTAGTATGGAAGACCATTCTTCCGGTGGGATCAAAGGATCCAAAGTTTGGCAAGTGGTCTCCAACCTGGGAAGGCCTATTTCTTGTCCACCAAGTCTTAGGGAAGGGGGCTTACAAGTTAAGTGACCAAAATGGTCGGGTCCATGACTCTCCGATCAATGGTCGATTTTTGAAAAAATATTATCCAACGGTTTGGGAGATGGCGGAAAAATAGTCCGCCACAAAGAAATTTTTTGTAGTGCAATATAGTAATTTTTATTGGAAAGGTGGGCATTATAAAAGGATCCTTTCCAAAATGCGTCATATATATATATAGGTGGGCAAAAGTGTACTACAAAATGGGGCCAAGCAATGGCCTAAGCATCCACAAAAAACTAAGCTAGTTCTACCACATGTGGTGACCAACTAAAAGAAACTAGCTAAGTACAAAATGGGCCAACTAATGGCCAAGTATGAACCTAAGCATCAGGAAAAAGGGTGCGAAGGGCAGTCCTGAAGCTCTCCATCGCGGTATCTCCGACCGACAAGGTAGACTGAAGTGTCAACTTCCTCTCTCGGTACGCTCCCGCTGCCGTCGCGTCCTGTCGAAGTTGAGCCTCGAGAGGCCCATTGCTCCGAGCAATCTCGGAGACTCTGGCAACAATAGCGGCCCTCCTCTCCTGAAGCTGCCTCACCTGCTCATCAATGTCCGCGGCCTCCTGTTGCATCTGGCGGACAATCTCAATCTCCTTCCTCATGGTTGCACTACATGAGGTAATCCGCTGTTCCAAGGCTTGGCCCAGCCTTTGCTCCTCTAGAAGAGAACGACGACGGGGGGCAAACTTCTCCACTTGGCCAAAGAGATAGGTGATCATGGCCGCCGAGCGAGGATCTGGGAAGAAGCCCGAGCTCGCCAAAGTCTCAATGGCGCCCTTAAGCTTGGCCCTCTCATCCTTGTCCTCCAAGGATACGAGGTCTCTATCTCTGTATGACCGAAGTAGGGCCTCAGCCCCAGAATCTGGTAAGGCCCCGGTCGTAGTGGAAGAAGTGGCAAGGCGGGTAGAAGCCTCCGCCGAAGATATGGATGCATCCCACTGATCAAGAAAGTCGAAAATATCACCGGAGGGCTACAAGAAAAATAATGGGCGTTATATTTTTTCCTTTCAAGTGGGGAAAGTAAATTGCATATAAAGACTTATATTTCACTCTTCATACCTAATCAGGGAATGGTAGAGGGGCTTCTTCGTGAAGGGCCATGGCTAAGCTTCTTCCATCCTCCGCCGGTGGACTCGTGATAGTCTCGGCGGGAATAAGGGATGAAGACTCTCCAACCTGGCAAAAGGGCATAAGAGTTATAATAATGGCCCATATATTTGAAATAAGTATGAAAACTTTGGGGCCTGCCTCAAGTGGAAGTTCGGGCGGAATAATATCAACCACCAAGGCGGGAGCCCCCGAGGTCAACATAAGAATGGGCTCAAGTGGTGCACTTCCGCCGGTGGGAGTAATGGAAGGCGCACCACTAGAGACGATCGCATGATGGACCGTGATGGCGGTAGACTCCACCTCATCCGCCTAAAAAAAGGAGGGTATAAGTTTTCTAACAAATAGAAAGCTTTGAAAAATATTAGAAGGAGGGTAAGGTTACCTAAAAAGTCGGGCCACTTCGGGGCGCCTCAAGAGGGCAAGTCAAAGGGGGGGTCCGAACTCATGGCAAAAAGAGGCTGAAATTCGGCCTCAATGACCGTCGTATCGGCTGAAGAAAGTTCGTGGCCAAAAATGGCCCGCTGACATGTTCAAACATAAAAAAATAAGGAATTGGGGGCAAGTGTAAAAGAAATTTTAAAAGTGTGAAATTTCAATGAGCCTGAGGGTTCGAAACATGTGGGAAAATAAAACTCATGCCTTATGGCTTACAAACCAAAATAAATGATAATTATGCCTCATGGCTTACAAAATTACAAACACAATCCAAACATAAATGACAAAAACAGAAAGTTATGCAATCCAAGCTGCATTTGCAGCCCACAATTTGGATTCAAGTATCCCCTTCATTTGCAATTTCTGCAAATTACCCAAACAAACAACTATTAGAAAGAATTCAATGCAAACTAATACAAAACAAATTACAAACAATATTTAAAATAATTTACCTGATTCAATGGTTTCATAAAATTCAAATTCTTCAATCGAAGGTGTATCTTCCAAGCTTGAAATTTCATCCCCTCTCAACCAATTTTGCATGCATATCAAAGCCTCCACTGATCTAGGAGTTAATGAACTCCTAAATGCATCTATGACTCTGCCACCAGTACTAAAACAACTCTCAGATGCCACTGTGGAAGTTTGAATTGAAAGGGCATCCTTCGCAATTGCTGCTAAGACAGGATACTTTGGCCCATTGAGTTTCCACCACATCAATATGTCAAAATATGCATCTTTGGAAACTAAAGCCAAAGGATCTCCCAAGTAACAATCAACTTCATGTGACACCACAGCCGAATCACTCTCTTCCACCTCTCTAATCCAATCATCTAAAAAATCATCACCAGCAACACTTTCTTCAACCATATTATTACTACCACTTGTAGATCCTACATTTTCTGTGGTAGAATTCTGTCTCATATGAATGCCACCATCTACCTTTGGTACATACTCATCATAGAGGGCCATTAATACACCTTTCACTTCTCTTGTCTTATTTGCACATCATCCTCATCAATTTTTTCCTTTTTAAAGAGATGGGTGATATGCCTCAACTTGAACCTTGGATCCAAAACAAGTGCAATCTACACCAACATGTTCAAATCCTGATATTTGACAAAATACTTGTTGTATTTTGTTCTCATAGTTCCAGCCATGTCAGTCAACACTTTCTCTGCATCTGAACCAGTGGCAAATTCAGGTGCCACAAACAACTTGTCAATCTCTTTTTCCATGGAAATAACTGCGTGAAATGTTTTATGAACTGTGGGGTGCAAAGATGCACTCACCTTTAAGGTCACATCATAAAACACCTTCAAAAACCTCACAAAGATTGATGCATTGTCCCAATCTACATCAGTTGGTGGTCCAACCCGACACTGCCTACTATTAGTCTGAACTACACCATCCTCATCAACTACCTCATCTGGCTCTTTGAAATAAGCCATGAATGGGCTGTTCAAATCCTCTACCATTCTAGTAAAAGCCTTCTTAAATTTCAAGGCTGCATCCAACATCATGTATGTTGAATTCCATCTTGTGGGGACATCCATGCATACAAGATTTTTGCAGGTCAGTTTCTCCTTCTCAACAGAGATTTTAAAATAATCCAATCTCTGTGGAGATGACCGAACATATCTCACAGCATTCCTAATTGCCATAACAGATTTTTGCAGCTTCCTCAACCCACTAGACACAATTAAATTAGTGATGTGAGCACAACATCTCATATGTAAGTACTTTCCACCCAAAACAACTTGTGAATTGTTCCATTTGTTCATTAGCTTGTGAATTATTCCATTTGTTCATTTTATATCTCACCCAATCAATTGCCACTTTATTTGCAGAGGCATTGTCCACAGTGATGGTTAAAACCTTCTCTATACCCCACTGTAACAAACAACTCTCAATGAGGTCTCCTATGGTGTTGCCTTGGTGATTAGGAATAACACAAAAATTTAAAACTCTTTTGTGCATCTTCCAATCACAATCTATAAAGTGTGCAGTGAGCACCATGTAATTGGTGTTTTGGACACTTGTCCAAGTGTCAGTCGTGAGGTTGATCCTATGTGCACTTAAATCTTTCTTCATCTGTTGTTTTTGTGCATCATACATTTTAAGAAACTGCCTCACTGTTTTCCTCCTACTAGGCACTTCAAACATTGGGCAAGCAACACTACAAAACCTCCTAAAACCTTTCTTTTCAACAAAAGAAAATGGCAGCTCATCAATCACAATCATTTCAACACATGCATTCATAATATCGCTTTGCACAAACCCCCTAGCAACCAATTTGTTACTCTGACCCCTATCACCAGTAATGATCTTTTGTGTTTTATCTTGGTTAGGTGGGTAGTATTTGCAATATTTTCTAATGTGGCTTATCATTCCCGAAGTCCCATTTTTCCCACTATCAAATGCATAATCTCCAAGACCAACTTTAGATTTTGGACAATATCTGCATTTAGCTCTTTTATTCACAACTTCTACATCTACCATCTTCCCTGTGGCCTCATCCTTTCTTTTTGACAGTTTTTTTTATCATCATAGGGTGTAAAATGATCCCAAACCCAACTTCTCTTATTACATCTACCTTTGCTATCTGAGTTCAGTTCACTAACCATTTCTATATCTTCACTCTCAACTTCAAGGGCTTGCATTTGCTCAGGAGCTTCAGAAGGTTGGGCTTCTGGCTGCACAGCACACTGTGGTATTGCTGGTGATGTTGCCGTTGAAGAAATAGCAAGCCCACTGTTCTCCTTATGCTTACTTGATCGAGACTACATGACAAGAATTAACAAAAATCAAAATAAACCCCAAAATTCAGCAACATTTCATCAATTCAGCAACAATTCATCAATTCAGCAACAATTTCATCAATTCATAATTCGGATATTGTCCTAATACCTAATTCATCAATTCATCAACAATTCATCAATTTCAGACATCAATTCATCAATTCATCAATTCATCAATTCATCAATTCATCAATGCAAATCAAAAGCTTATTATCAAAAGTTTCAATTCCAGACAGAGAATTTGTTGAACATAAACTTACCATTTCCATTTGAGTTTGAGTCTTCGATTTGGGGCTTCCAATTCCAGATAGAGAGAGTGATCGAGAGACTGAGACAGAGAGAGAAAGATTGAGAGACTGACATGCATAACTAAACTGCAATTAAAAATAGAAAGTTGTAACTGAAAAAAGAAAAAAGTAAAGCAAACAGTAGATGTTTCCAAGAAATCAAACACTATCACACTGACCTGGAAATGGAATTTTTCTACGAAAATATAAACTTTCCCGAAAAACAAAATAGACGGGCGATGAAATCACAAGAAGAGAGAAGAGCTTGTTAGCCCTAATTTGGGGTTGTTTTTTCTAGGAGGTTAGTGAGCAGAGGCGTCCTCTCGAGCAGAACAACAAGAAAGAAAGAAGGTAGACAGAGAGAAAGATCGAGAGACTGAGACAGAGAGAGATCGAGACAGAGAGACAGAGATCGAGTCCAGAGAGAGAGAGACGGATTAAATCGAGAGTGGGTCTGTGGGACAGAGATCGAGAGATCGATCAAATTCGAGAGATTGAGTGAGTGAGACAGAGATCGTGAGAGTGAGAGAGTGAGAAATCAAATAAAAATACTGATTGTCAATAATTAATATATATGCATTGACTAACTATGTCGTATAAAAAGAAACAGAAAGTACAAATACAATAATATGAACATAAAATATAAACAAAATCACCCAAAATTATGGGCGGAACCACACTAAGAGCTATAATGGGTTGTAGCCAAGTGTGGGTTTTTAAGGAAAAAAAATAAAACCTATATATTTAACCTTGTTTTCAATATTAGCTCAATATATATTAACTTATTAAAACCCAAAAAAGTCCAATTTTAAAAAATAAATAAATTTAGTTGGAGGTCAGCAATAAAAATACACATTAAATAGGTTCACTTTCAGTTATGTTATTGAACATATTTTCATTTTGATCATCTGTGTTTTCAGTTGCATTTAATATGTATTTGTTTTTTATTTTTGATAAAGATCGGTAGTATTTTATTGATAAGAGGAACATAAACAATTACAAAGCCACTATGGTATTAAACCCTATTTGGTTTATGTTAAAAATTATTGAAAATTAGTCTATGGAGCTATGAACTAGCGTGATTTATATGATTTAATATTTACTTTTATTTCTAGAAAGACTATAGAAATTGTATGTACCAAAAAAATAATAATTAAATTTTAAGCTAATAACTTTAGCTCGCCCACCCGTTGAAAAATTCTTGGTTCCGCCCTTGTCCAAAATATCATTTCAAGCCAATATAAAAACATTCCCACCAAAAATTAATCAATATATAAACAATGAAAAAAATTCATAGTAGTTAATTGTTATTCGCGTTGACGCCAAAGCCAATAAAAACTTGATGTTATAGTTCGTGGTGCTTTCTATAATGCTATCGTAACCTATTATAGCGTTTTTGACAAGCTATTTGGAGGAAGTTGTGGTGTACATGCATAGTGTGCAACTCAAACAGGCGTCCTATCCATTGTAGCAGAATCAATTGGCATTTGAAAGTGCCACTTTTGTCATATAATAGTAACTTCCTTGCAGTTTAATTTTTTCAAATTACATTCCGGGTGTAACAAACCAAATAAAAAATTGAATTGCGGGGGTATTGTCTTTTTATTGCAATGGTGCAAACTGCCTAGATATAGCAAGCCATGTGCATGCGTCTAGCATAGTAGCATGTGACTCTTCTAATCTCTCTCGTTTATAAAGTTAAATTATGGGGGATTCATTATTATGTCCAATATAGGAGTTCAAATTTTTTTTAAAGAAAAAACCTACATGAAATGTACTTTCGAAACATATCCAAAGCCCATTTACAACATAACAAAGAGGCTTCGAACTTCCTGTAAATTACAAAATTGCTATTGATTTCTTAAAACAAGCCCAACTCCAAAATCTCAATAAAATAAAAATAAAAAAACTCAAAACACTCAACAGGAAATCAAAGTAATTTAATTTTTTTAGCTGTCATTTTTTGGGTTTATTTATAGAAATTAAATGGTGTATGATTTATCTATATCACTAATGCTAAAAATGGGTATATAACTAAATATCTCTTGAATAATTTATGAAGATTAAAGAAAAAAAATATCGAGTTACTTGAAAAACTCAAGGAAACGTTTAAAGATTATTGGTTCAAGCCAAACTTTTTAAAAGAGAATCAAACAAATAAGGTCAACTCTTATGTCTTCTAATCCATCTTGACAGGTTGTATATTTTTTTCTTCTTCTAATTTTGTCATAAATGATAAATAAATAAATAAATAAAATAATTACCTGAACAACATGTTACTGTTTGCGTCATGGTCTTTAGTTGTCTTGACAAGGAGAATTCTACAATGGGCGTGGTGTATCCATGCGCCCAAAATATCATCCATTGGATGAGTAAGTGGAGATGAGGGTTAAATCCACACCATTAAATGCTGGTAACATGTTAAACGGGTTGGTGTAGGTAAAAGTGAATAAAATAAAAATTAAACAGAAAAAGAAAAAGAAAACAAGAAAAGAAAAACAGAAACAGAAAGGGAGAAGGGAAGATCGTGAACTGCTGCTGAGGCTTCTCCAAGAACGGCACTCTCTCTTTCATCTCCTCCCTCTCTTCCCCTACATGTGAATCACTTGATTCTGGAGATGAATTGAGAAGATCTTAAATCTTGGTGGCTGGGCATTTTACGTGGTTCACAAAAAACCAGTGGAAATGAGTTGCTGTTGCTGGAACGTATTTAAGTGGCCATTGCAAAGGTAAAATTAATAGCTTTATTATCCTTGTCCACACTTGAGTTGCCAAAGACCAGCAATATAACATTTTGCTATATTAATCTGCTCAAAGAAAACCAGCTATTTCTATGGGTAATTTTCCCTCTATGAAATCAAGTAATTATGTTATGAAAAGAAAACCA